TTGTAAAATAGTTTTTTTATATGTTGCACACCGGGTGAAAAGTCAGTCGTGTAACATCGACGGTCGCTCCTGTAGTGGAGATGATGAAAATTCATTGATGTTTGAACTTAGTTTCCTAAAATATGTTGTTTGTTGATCATTTAATGTTTCTGAAACTGAAATACATTTCTGGCCCATTACTTCATTGACAGCGTCTTACGGAATTTTCCGCAAACAAATACAGTATTTACATATTGTACTGCACCAGGTATACGTACGTACGTACGTACGTACATACGTACAGTACGTACGCGAGTGTATCTGGTATATGTAGATTAAGATTATTCCTTTATTTTTTTGTAGCTAACCAACCCTTTATTATACGTAATTAATGCATAGAATACATAAATTAAACATATGTTAAAATATAACTAATACTAGCGCTAATAACAATGACAATAACGTCATGATTGAGCCCAAAAATTGTCCCCAAATGCACTTAGACGATCGAAACCTCTTTTTTTATACGTATTTGATGTACAATATTTCAATATTTTATTATGCTATATATTAATATTGTGTTCATGCTGCGTGTGTACGTACGTACTGTGATTTGAAGAAAATAGCAACAATGACGATACTCCGTAAATATTTTGTTAGGCGCAGGTACTGCATACTACATTTGTAACCGGAATGTCCTAATGCCTATATTCGGTAAAGTAATCTAATCAAAAGATCGTGAAAATTCTTTTTGGCAAATAAAAAAATTCCAATTATATTAATGGAAACTCCTGCTTACATCTTACGATCAGCTTTACTTTTTGTATTTTATGTAACAAAATATTCCAATCTCGTTTCTCAACCTTTCCAGCTCCCACGCCTCCTTTTCACCAACCATCCATTTTCTATCACTTTCAATCCCTAAAATCTTCATCTCCTTTGTCCGTTTTGCATATTCTGCGACGACTCTGAAATGTGATGACTCGAAGTTCGAATAATTAATATACAAACTATTTAATTTACAATTTTTTAGCAAGTCATCTAATTGAATAGTAGTGAACCCGCACTCTAAAATCAAGCATTCCAGAGACTTTGGTAAATCTCGCGAATTTAGTATCATATTTTCATAATCTCCATTTTTTACGTTTATAAAGATTTCTAACTTTCCAAGTTTTATCAGTCCGTGCAAGAGTTTCCCAATTTTAATTGGTTTTTGTATGAAACAATTTTCTAATTTTAAATGTCTGATCTCTTGGCAATTATTTAAAATCGCAGCAATTATTTCTTGATTCAATAAATCTACTATTAATTTCTTCACCGTTTTACCAAATATTGGTAATAGTACTAATTGTGTTGAGTATGATACCGGTGAACATCCAAATTTTAATGACTCCAATGAAAATTGTGCTTGTAATAATGATGTGGATTCTGTTGTCAATCCTTGACAATACTGAACCGTCAAATGTTTTAAAGATTTGCATTTTGTTAACGGAAATAAATTGACAGCGGTGAAATCCATCCATGTGAATTCTAATGAATGTAAAGATTCGGTTTGTGATTCTAAAGCTTGCAAAATTATTTCTATACCATCTACTGATCTCGCTCCTGACAATAAAAGCTCTTTTAAATTTTGCTGAGAAATAATAATTCTTGAAAAATTTTCCATTATTGCTATTTCATTATTTCTATCAGGATATGAAGAAAGTTTTATCTCCAAGTGTTGAATTTTCGTACATAATTTCGAAATAGTTTGTAATAATGACATGGTATTTTCTGATATTCTTTGAACTTCGAACTGAAATTTTGAAAGATTCGATAAACTACGATGAGAATTCATGAATGTAACCTTATCCGGAAGGTCCATTTTACCAAAAAATTTAGAAATTAATAGACATGTCATATTTGTACTATCTCGCATGATTAGCTGACAAAGCGATGCAACTATTAATAACGTTTGTGTATGTATGCTGTGACCCATAAAATCTTGACTGAGATATTTTCTTATACCGGCATCGGCTGACAAATACAAATTATTATATGAAAACTCTTCCAAGTATCTCTCATATTTGAATAACGCTTTCGCTGCAAAAGGAATTTTGATTTTGAAAGATCTTAATTTAAAATTTAGATTGCATTTTTCTTCTTCTTCAAGACAAGAAATATAAGTTCTGACAAGTTTATGTCGATTATCACGAGACACAATATCAAATGGTCGATTCCATAAAAGAGGCAACGCGTTACTACACCAATATTTATCCACCAAAAGACATGAAATGAGATCTTGTCTTGATTCTTCGTTGACGTGTCTAAATATAATTTTCATGCTTTCTTCTGGCAAAGTTGGCATTATTTTCATCTTTTCATCTAATAAAGCGTCGAGCTCTGATCGAGAAATAGAAATCACCGAGTCATGCCGTAGTTCTTTCCTTTCTCCGTTTAACACGCCATCAATAGCTTTAAGCACTGTCGGTATAAGTGTTGATGTTGTCTTATAATCATTAAATATTTCTTGTGTATCGTCTAAAATTTTTTCACTAAAAGATTGTTGACTTTTCTTTTTTCTACAAAAAGTTTTTAATATAAATTTACAAAAACAATTTGCCATTTTTCAAAAAGGATTTAAGAAGATTGGATGATTGACTTGAAAACTTCCTTTGACAAACGTATTTATATATCCTATACCGATACCGTCGCACGATGTTTTAATCTAAAAATCGTATTCTTTATTTAGCTAGTCTCTTTTTTTGGTGCACGAACTCGTGATATTAAAAGTACAACAAAAGATCAAAAAAGTACAAAATAATTTATTGATCAAATAGGGGCTGTGATTTTTGTAATGGGTCCAATTATGACTCTCTATTAATATTTTTTGTTGACGTACACGATAAAAATTGAATTCTTATTTCCACATTTGTACTTACCAAACTTGGAAAATGTGGTGACTCTTATATGTGCAGGTATATTAAGTTAAAATTGATGAAAGTTGCATGATACCTAACCGTACGTACGTTCGTTACTAAAATACGTACAAAAAAAAAAAAAAAATATTATATATTACGAAATAACGAGTAACGAACTTATTAAACAAATCACCCCAAGGCTCAACCTCGCATCAATTAGAATAAAATCACGATATTTTTAAGGATTCAATATCCCTATATTTCAAATGGACTATAAAGAGAGGTCAGCTGAGTAATAACCTGTTCTACTTGTTTCAAGGTTGGCTTAGCTATACTCTCAGCAACATAGCCGCATTAAATATCGATATTATATCGATATAATATCGATATTCGCTTTTTTTTAACTTAACAGTTGACCTTTTAAATCTCGTATTTAGACTCCTTCAATTTGAATCTATACTGAGCACGAAGAATCTCACTCAAGACCCCACAATAGATCTTTATAAATTTCGGCATTTATGTTTTCTTGGTGAGAAATCATTATAGAAAGTAAATTCTATAATTACCCTTTTAAACACAAAACTACCATAAAATACTAAAAGGGGTTTTTTTATTATTTGAGGTATTCCCGATAAACCTGGTATCAGGCAAAAAAGTTGGAAGGTATGCTCACAATTTATATATAAATTTTTATTCATACTCAGATAGTCAATTTATTTAATATTCAATGACGTATTGGAATTTTTTTTTTAGATATTATTGGGTTATTTACCATTGGATAAAAGAAAATGGAAAGAAGCGCTTGCTGAGCAAAGATCAACATATTACGTACGTAACGCAATATTTAGGTTTATAATTTCCATATATATTCTTAAAGAGTATCATTTTTTAGAGTTTCGTCAGGGATTTGCTGGCAGACCCAAGCGAAGAAGAACTCAAAGAATATCATTCTTCTGATCATCCTTTGAACTCTTCACCAACTTCAAAATGGGCGGATTATTTTTCTGATAATGCAATACTTGAACAAATTGATAAAGATGTTAGAAGAACATTACCAGACTTTGCATTTTTTCAACAACCGGTTTATCAGAGCCCTTTAAGTCCATTGAGTCCAAGTCTTAGTGCAAAGTACATAAATAGAATTAGTGGTACACGTTCACCATCCATATTCGATGCTTTAGATAGCAATAATGACGATAATACCAGCCTTATCAGTTATAATGATTCAATATTGACAAATCTAGAATTAGAATCTGATGTTTCAACTTTAGATCCTCAATTGACTATAAGATCTCAATCAATTCCGTTTCGAATAGATGCTGTTACTCCTATTACTACTCGTAGATCCATATTCAGGCGTATTCAACATTTGAATAAAGATTTCGGAAATAGACGCACTCCTTCTCCTGCACCAAGTTATAGGTCTGATGAGTCACGAGATTATGATACCGAGGTTGATTTGCATTGGGAAGCCGTTGAACGGATTTTATTCATATATGCAAAATTGAATCCCGGTGTTGGATATGTTCAAGGCATGAATGAAATACTTGGTCCCATATATTATACAATGGCTAATGATTGTGAAGAAGAGGGAAAAGGTAAATATTGTTTGTCAAGAGTTAATATTCGCAAATGTGTTACAATTTTATTCACAGACGATTTTAAATATGTAGCACATGCGGAAGCAGATTCATTTTTTGTGTTTACTCTTTTAATGTCTCATATTCGTGACTACTTTGTTCGAAGTTTGGATATGGATGATACGACCGGTATCGGACATACCATGAAAAAAATGATGCGACGCTTAAAAACATTCGAACCTGAATTATGGATCGATTTGGTTTGTAATTTTATGTAATTAAGGTACACATAATTATCTTAAATAATTATATAAACTAATAACGATGAATATTTTTTTAGGAACGAAAATCCTTACACCCTCATTATTATTCATTCCGCTGGTTAACTGTTATGTTATCTCAAGAATTCTCTCTTCCGGATGTCATTCGTCTCTGGGATTCTATATTTGCTGATAATGATGATGATGATGAATTATCTAGTGGATTTGAATTTTTAGTGGACTTTTGTTGCGCGATGCTCATGTGAGTATATACGTATGATCTATTTTGGTAGGATATTATTTACTTACAATTGTTTTTAGATGTGTGAAAGACGAATTACTTCATGGATCATATTCGGATAACATCAAACTTTTACAAGTAGGTTCATTTATTAAAGACTATAAATGTATATAGATGTATGTTGATGTATATAGATGCAAAATTTTTGATCATTGCTTACCACATTGTCATCTGCTTATGCATCAACTAGAACTATCCAATACAAGATCCTAAGATGGTTTTGTTAAAAGCATATACATTACGTGAAATGCGTCTTTTAGCTAAACTAAATGGAGAAAGTATTGATTCATCTTCAGAATCTGAAGGTGCCGATTACGAATATTTTTCATGTATTTATTTATCCTTATAAATTTCAATTCTTCATCTTTAAATCGTTTCTATTTAATAATAATATTTCATTCTTTTTATAGATAATAGTACGGGTTATGGTGATTCACATTCATCAAAGTTAAATGTAAATGATATGAAAATCAAAGGGTTGGCAATGTTGAAAAGACTTCAAGGAGCTATGAATGGCATAAATGGTAAAGGATTGAATGATAATAAAAATGGATATTTTGGTGTATTGAACAATAACAATGATGGAATTAATGTGATGAGTGAATTTGCAATGAAATTTACAAATGTTTGGAAGAAAAATTTTATCGATTAATTACTGAATTAATTTCAAGTGGTTTGTTTTTTTAAAAAGTACTTTAGTAAATTTAATATTTTCTTCCGTACTGCATAAAACAGTACGCTTCGTATTATTATTGTGTAAAAAAAAAAGTCGTTACCTTTTTGTTCTATACAATCGTGTACTGTACACTACTCATTTGTATTTCTTTGTCATTCCATTAAAAAATATTAGATTTTATCTAAAAATGAATGATTCCAAAAATTTCCGTGAGGATTGAGGTACGTGTAAAATATATCTGGCAAAATATATTTTTATACGTACTTTGCAAAATAGATTATTATGTATTTGGCAAAATCTATGATTATGTGACAAATATATGGCAAAAATATATGTATATGAAATTTTGTATTAAAATATAAGATTAGAGATAAATCGTATGCCGATACGTATTTATCTTTTTTAAGGAAAAAAAATGAACGTCGTTGATATAATAATATTTAAAAAAAGTTCTCTAAAGTAATTCGACTACTAATCTGAAATCTATTTTTATTCACAAAAATAATACACGGTTGTATCATTTACAAAAAAGGGTGATATATACATTATGAGTTGTTCATAATCTATAGATAATTTTCTTCAATGCAATACGATATATATTCGTATATACATTATTTTCTTTTCCCAAACCTTTAAACCTCTATCTACAATTCTTTCTATCGGACCCAATAAGATTTACATGATTACACATATTACATGTATTAAATTACCATTTATCAATTTCATACCAAGGAATAAGTTTAACTCCACGTCTTTTTAATGCTTCTAATTCATTTGTCTCTCTAACATTCCATCCTATCCTTCCACTAATACCTAAGTATCTTAACGTTCGTCTAGCTTTCACAAATTTTGTAATAACTTTTAAATCTGAATGCTCGAATTTTATAAAATCTAAGATTAAAACTTTTAAAGGCGCCATACAATCTCTTAATAAATCTTCTAATTGTATTGAGGTGAGTCCACATTGTAATTTTAGATATTCTAAAGTTGTAGGTAATTCTCTTCCAGAAATGATCATATATCTATTTGCGTTGTTATGATAAACTGATATGGTAAGTCGTTTGAGTTGACGGAGTCCTCTAAATAATGAATATACAAGAGAATTATGATGTGGTAAATAATCTGAAAGTTCAAGTTCAGTTATGTTAGGACAATAGAAGATTGTGGCATCTATTGTTTCTCTGGTTATCACATCGTAACTTAGACATTTCAGATTTTCTCCTGCAGCTCTAATCAATGCCGCTGATATTAATGGTGATTTCGTGGAATTTTTCAAACGCAATTTTCTTAAATCGAACTTTATGTGACTCCATATACTTCCTGATCCTCCCCCTTCACCCGTTGATGTACTACCTTCCATAGTTAATCCTCTATAATATAATAACGATAAATTTCGAAGTTGTCGACATACCGCGAGTAATCCCAAAGAATCAGCAGTAAAATCAACATTTTCAAATTTTATGGTGGTTATGGATAATGATTGACATTGTAGAGCTTGTATAATGTCACTGGATTCTCCACTTCTTACACCATCAAGATTAAATTCGATCAAACTTTCTTGAGCTCTAATTATCTTTATGATCGCTTGTATTATATCTGTATTATTTTCAAAAAATAAAATTTTAACATCTAGACAACGAATTTTTTTACACAAAGATGGAATTAATTCTAATAAACGGATTGTATTTTCCATCATTGGTTTTGTGCAATCAATAGAAAGGTTAGAAATGTTTCTTAAACCAGGTTGTCCGGAACTGAATATTGAACAATCTGGTAAATCAGAATGGTTAAGAAATTTGTCTATTATAAAAGTTTTTAAACTTTTAGAATTTCTCATGAATAATTGACATAATGTGGACGCTAAAACGAGTATTTGTTCTTCTCTATTACGAGCTACAAATTCTTCGGTATTCCATCGACATATACATGAATATACCGCTGTCTCAACGTTTCTATACGAAAATTCTTCCAAGAACATTGGGTAATTATATAAAGGAGGGTCTAGATCAGGAATTGTGATGTTATATGGCCTTAAAGAAGCATTCAATGCGGCTTTTTCTTGAGTGGTAAGGGATGCCAGGTAAATCAACATGAATTTATATCGATTTTCTGGAGGCAATTGTCCTTCAAATGGTCGAGCCCATAAAAAAGGTATAACGTTATTACACCAATATCGATTAACCAACAAGAATGGGTATAATGATCCTACGCCTTGATCTGCTATATGTTGAAGTATTTGTTGCATACATTCTGTTGGCAAGGATGGAACACGTAATTTCGAGAACGTCTTAGATTTATTAGAGAATAAGTTGACTATTATTCTTGATAGGCAACATAATTCATCCTCAGGCATGTTTTCACAATCGGAATACTTCATAGTAACCCGATTGATAAAAATTTTTGAATTTTCGTTTATTTATACAAGTTCTTTAAGAAAAAAAAAAAAAAAAAAAAATTTAGTGTAGTCCGTGTTAAGCATGGTGTGTAGATCCTAAATATAGAATTTTATGCATATTTGATACATGCATTGATACATGCACCATTCAATCATTTCTTTAAAAATCAATCTGGTATGCATTCATTTCGTTGTTTAGAAGAACAATGATCGTTTTTTTAACGAAGGCGAAAAGAGATGAGCCACTCGTCCGACCGGACGTCTAACAATGGTTTTTAACAATAGGTTTGGCTGCGCCACAACTAATCGCCTTCCTTTTTTTAATCAATTCAGGTTTTGGCAGAAGTACAAACCTCTAAATATAGTTTCATCAATCTATACTTGAGTACATTTGAACAATCAATTGCAAATTAAGTAATATCTGATATCAAAATAGTTTATATTTCCTTCTAACCTTGAATAATGATTATAATATTATAAATTGTATTATCTACCTCCGTCTTGGTATAATGAAATAAGCAAGATAATGGATTATTACAGAGATAACCTTAATCATTGTGATCTTTTTGGGTTCAAAGACAATAAATAATTTTCTAAAAAAAAACAATTCTTAATAATTATGTAAGGTTAAAACTATCGCGTCGCGTCAAATTAAGCTATTATGACTATAGAAATCGAAAAAACAAGATTAAATTGATACTGTGAAACAAACACATTTACGCAATTTTGTGAGAAATTACAACTTAAATTTTTATTATAAATAACCATTTTTTTGTACAATATTAAAAACTATCTTCCCAAACACCTATCGTTTAGCTCAACTTTCTAGATGTAATATTAGTAAATTATAATATTTAAAATAATGATTCCAACATCTAATAAAATAATAATTTTAAGAACTTATTTAATTTTAACACAATTGAATATTGCAGAAACAATGTTTTAAAAAGTATTTTGTCGCGGCTAAAGCTTAAGTCGAGAATCGTATTCTTTACTTGAACATATAAACCCCACTAAATACTGCTTATACTATTACAATTCTAACATTAAATCTAAACATTACACTAAACAAAGATTTAAAATTTAGATTAAAATAGGTCGCTTTATTTTAACCAATCTTAGTTTAACTGCAATTTTATTACGTATAAGTTTAATAATTATTTTTTGTAAATAAAGGCTTACCTTGTTTTTTAACTTTAGAAAATTTGTTTTTCAAAGTTTAAATAATAATTAGAAGCATACTGTAATCAAGGTTTTAGTATTCATACAATAACTTGCATATTAGCAATATGGGGTCTTTGCCTTGAAAATGACCTTACGGTACATGATACCGTAAGGTCATTTTCCATATATTCTATTTAACCAAAACAATTTACAGTAACATTTGGTTTGATAAAAAAATACTATTTTAATAAAAAATCTGTAACATAATTTTATTATCTTATTATCAAATACTATTAAAATATATACAGTGCCCGACAAAAGTTTCCCCGCACCCCTCACTAGTCGAAATAAAGCCTATCGGGTAGGGTTCGAGGCACAGAGGCATGGGCATGCCACTTGGCCATTAGGCATGCCCTAGTAATATAATATATATGTTATATCTGATTGGCCAGCATATTAGAAGTAGCCGAGATCATCAGAGTTGTAAATTTTTTAACATTTTAATTAGTATAAACCTCATGTACTGGTTGATAACTACAAGTCATTGTGACAACAAATTTCAGTCTAGCTTTTTATTTACGATATTTTCAAGTTTATCTTTTTAATGCCTTGCATTTACTGTAAGTTGGTCATATTTGAAAACGTCCAAGTATATAAAAATCTACATGATTTGATGCAAAAATTGTATAATAGCATATAGGTGACCCATAGCAAAAAGTTCTGTAAAAATTTTTAAAGTAATCATGAAAATTCTCATGAAAATTCTTATGCAAGCTATATATTGTAGCCACTAGAATACAAATTCTGTAATAGTAAGTCGTGATAAAGTTCTATAACTAAATTTTTTACAGTAACTTATAATAGAAATTATGATAATTTTAATGTAAACTAACTAAACCTTAATTAACTACATATTATGTATTGTTGAAAAGTTTTTTTACAATAATTCAGAATTAATTACTATAATTCTAGTAACAGAATTTTTTATATTAAACTATAGTAGAAATTACAATAACTATCCCTTAAACAATCTAGCAGGCAAATTTGCCTGCTAAAATAATATTTAAAAAGTTTTTTTAAATTTTCTCAAAATTTATTTTATTTAAGTAAAAATTAAAGATATTTGTATTATTAATAATATTGTAATATAGTCACTTTGGTGGCAATAACTATATTACTTGATAACATGCCAAAAGTAAGAAATATGAATAAAAAAAAGAAACCAGAAGAACAAAACAACAACTAGAAGCAAAAATAAAGAAAACAATAAAATTTCTATGCAAAGAGTATAATATTTGTTTTATTAAATATAGAAGAATCTAAGAGTAAATATTTTATATATCAAAAACCTTGGCAAGACCTATATAAGAACTATGTAAATCTGTTTTTACAGGAAGGGATTCATGCTCTTTTTATA